GTAATATGTACAAGGTTACATCAAGTCCATGTGCAGTGTATGAGAAGTTTGATTCAACAGAAGCCTAGATTCAAATTTAGAAGTACCGTAAAATTCCTAATTGAGGCCGCGGCTTAAATTAATATTATTTTTTTCAATGGTTGAATTCAGATGCGTGAAGTCTTGTTGCGGCTTTAATTAGAGCATTCACTTCAGAAAACAAAGGCCAGAAGGGATAATGAGATGCTAATGAGATGCACGACACTCGATTGCAACTTTGTTGCAATTCTAAGCGCACTTTCGGATTTTTACACACAGACAAACTTTAACACAAACGAAATTTCACACTGTATAATATACTGCACAATAAATAATATCTACAAATAGATTTGTATGCATTTGCAGATTAAGGTACCGTATACTACAATCTCTTGAATAGATGTCACTCTAATTCGTTAGCACCGGTATAGGTCACAACTGAGAGACAGTCGTCTGACACAGTTTTCAAAGTGTTACAATTGATGATTATTACTCAGTAGTGATTATAATAACGTACAAAAAATAAATTTGTTGAATTATGAAAATTCAACTTAGTTTCACTGCAAGGGAATGATTTCGGTCACATGTAAACGCTTGATCCGATACGATATCCGCCATGTTTGTTCAAACACCTTTAGTAACTTGAAACTGTTTTTTGACCTGATAGGTCAAGTCGCTAATTAACCAATCGAAACGCTGGATGGTGCCAACGTGTTTGAATTACCATAGCTCATTTAAATATGTTAATGTAGTTCAGCAACTTCATGGTGAACTAACACGGATAAGATTTACCGTTGTTGTAGTGCGATCGTTTGGCTTTGATTTTGATGGAAAAACGGTATGATTTTTTTTTAAATCAAGAAATAAGTTGTTTTTCGAAAGATAAGCTGAGCATTGAAGAAGAATTTAACACGTTTGACGATAATAACAGCTCATTGTCGAAACGCAGTTTACCCATTCACGCTACCCACAATAAACACTGTACTCTCGAATAAGCGTCAATGACTACGGAAAACCTAAATTAGACTCTAATCTAGGCGTCAGAAAAGATTGAAATGTTTGACAAATTATGCCTTAATTTAAAATTAAATGGTATGTCTTTTTCTGAAATATGTGGTGGCTGCTTGGTTTGTGAAAGTTTGGGGTGCAGCTTATATTGCAGACTTTTTTCTGGGATCAAAACTTGTCAAATTCAACATGAAACAATGTCTCAAGTTAGGGGTGCGGCTTCTATTAAAGCTGCGGCCTCAAATTTTTACGGTACCTCCTACAAAAAGAAAGCTATGCTAACATGACCCTGAGTGATTACAACAATGACAATTATATTTGATTTTGAGATTAGTGATCCAATATTTCAGAATTTGTTACCATGGAAACCTATTTCATCATTTTTCATGGTGATCACAATAAATGATACAAAGTGGAAAAACAAATTTAATGTTTGTTTGTTGTTTGTTTGTTTGTAGATAAAGATATGCCTATAGACTGCATGATGAGTGAATGGCAGGAGTGGTCTGAATGTACAAAGACATGTGGTAAACATGGTAAAACTATAAGAACCAGAATGATTAAAGTAAGACCTGCCAATGGTGGCAGAAAATGTGGAAGGAAGAAGCAGAAACAGAAATGTAATACAGATATTCGTTGTCGTAAGTATATTTGTGCTGTGGTTCAGATGTAGTGATGCAATACTATTATGGTTGGCAGTACTAATTTATATACTGTAAAATACTTTATTTAATTAACACTGAAATTACTTTATGAGTGTTTTGTATGGAATTTTTGATGAGATGTATGTAAAATATAGGAAAAAAGGTATATTTTATTGGGAACACTTTATTCATATAAATTATTCATTATTGATTCGTTTTATTTTCGCTTTGTTGTATTCCTTTGAAATTACATGTCATATGGTAAACCAACACAACCTTGACTGTTTCACGCCATTTAACTATTCAAGTTTATTAGTACTAACGTAAGAGTGAACACACTTCGAAATTGAATACAGTCAGAGTTTATTTACTTGTGTAAATCCTTGGCTGTCTATATAAACTTTGATTCAATGTAATTCTTCAGTTGTTTCAACCTGACGCTCTATGACGCATGTCATATTCCCGAATAAAAGTATTCTTTGCTGTAGAATACTGTCTTGTCACTCTGTCTCGTAACTGCGTAGTACATATACACTATCAGACTCGTTATAATACGAATCCTGTCTTCTATTGTGATATCCAACTACATATTTGCTGGATTTTATTTTCACTGAATTCCCCCCCTTAGTTTGTGGGCAATGAAAGGCAGGGTTCTAACAATTTGACTATGTTTGTATTACCTTTTCAGCTGTTGACTGTACACTGGGAGAGTGGGGATCTTGGTCTGCATGTGTGAATTCTTGTCAACAAGATGGATTACAAGTAAGGATGAGACCTGTAGTGAAACGAGCAAAGCATGGTGGGAAGGAATGCGATGAAACTGAGCAACAAAGGGTACTACAGTAATTGTGTATTCACTGGAAGCTTATTATTCATTTGCTAAGTTTTCTCAGATAATTTTTTTTTCTTGCCTCATCACATGATTTTATTAAATGAAGGGGAAACAGTTTTTTTTTCTTCCAATTTTTTCCACACTTGGATATTTTGTTAATTTGTTTGGGCTTTTGGCCATTTTTAATTTGGGGCATTTGTTGTTTGTATATTTTTCAAGATATGAATGAAATTTCATCCTTTTTATTATGGTTACATTAACTCAAACAAATTTTTATCTGATCATCTTCAAACTATGAAATAATGAAATGTCCTCCAAGTTCAATCTTAGTTTGACTAGTATGTATAATTATTGTACATCTGTCACCATAATGCCATAAGTTACAGCGTGCCGCAATTTCACGGGGTATTTTCCTCCTATTATATAAGGAAAAGCGAATTCCAAATATGGAATGATTACGCACATAAGCGTCCTCAGATAATAAAAACAAACATGGCTGCCATTGGGGTTTGACCGGACTCCACATAAAGAGTATAGTACTACGCTGATTCTGTTCTAAACTTTTTGGATTTCGGCATTCCCATGATGTATCCTTGGAAGGAAAAGATGTATAATAATAAGGTTATTACGAGATTACCTCAAAGTATGCACTCAGACAGTACGCTGCGCATCGACCTCCACTGCCCGTTGGTTGATACTCCAGCTGTACTGTCTTCGTGCATACTTTGAGGTATCTTCGTAATAACCTCATATTAATATACATCTGTCACTGTAACACCATAAGTTACAGCGTGTCATAATTTTGCGGTATTTCATTCTACAGTATTAGGAAATGCGAATTCCAAATAAGGAATGAATATGTGCGTAAGCGTCCTCTAATAATAAAAACAAACATGGCACTTTGATCAGAAGGAAAAGATGTATAATAATAAAGTTATTATGAAGATATTGAAAAGCATGAACTCAGACAGTACACAGTCGCATCCACCTCCGCTGTGCATCGGCCGATACTCCTGCTGTACTGTCTTCATGCATACTTTTCGGTATCCTCGTAATAACCTCAAAATATCAACTCAACGTTAACACCAGACTATATGAGAATCGTGGAGACTGATGTACAATCTGTGAACAGTTGGATCATGTAATTGTACATGCAACCTGCTACATTCACAGAATAACCAACATATTAATTGCCTAATTTGCATAGTTATTGATTTTTAATTGACATAACAAGCGTTGGTAGGATTGTACAGGGTTACAAGTGAATGAATTACCTGCAACAATCAGAAGCTATGTCATCAAAATCAATACAATTAACAACAACAGCAAAACACATTTTCAATGAAATAAAAATATTGAAAGAGTAATAAGTTAATTTTGTATTGCATGTGTCGAAACTGCAAAACAAAGAAACAGAAATGAGGTGAACATAAACCATTGTACACACAATTCAACAGACAGCAAACAACAAACAAAGTGGAAATGTACACAAAAGTACTATATGTGAAATTGTGAACTAAACTATCGGCCATTAAGTGTTTAAGTACTTTCAAAATGTTACTTTTAGTGAGAGGAGGGAGTCAGCACTATTACGATTGACTTACATTTTCAATGCAGCTGTTGTAATGATTGTCCACTCTATGTTAGTCAGTGAATTGTTAATTTTTTTTATAAAAATTATTATACACACATTTAACAAAATATTTTACACATATTTAATTTTAGGAACTATTATTAAATATGTTCTAATGTGTTTAATATGCTGCATGGCATTGGTGCTTTAGTGTTAATGACTTTATTAATGAGTGTATTAACATATTTTATTGATCGTAAGTTTTTTCAATATATTTCTGTCCAAATGATTCAATTTACCTGAGTTCTACAGTATTTTTAGCACTAATATTGAACTATGCAATTTATTAAATTAAGTTTAAGTTTCAAAATTTTCAATTGTTAGGCTGTTCCATTGTTGCCTAAAGTAATTTTAGCAAACATACAGGACACCTTTCTTAAGATTGTATGTTTCTGACTATATTTACAAATGCCTCTGTGAATGTAATTTACAAAATCATGTGATTTTAGCTAACCAATCAAATGTCACCTATCACCATGATTTGCATACTTTTTAATTGATTGATTTCATATCTATATATATATATACAGTATATACAGCACATTTTATGTATCTTTATAACCAATAAATGAATAATTATCAGTATATTTAAATCATTTGCTATTCATAATTTATTCTAAGTGTGATGCATACTTTCAATTACAGTCTCTCAAACCCTTGTGGGACTGTGTTTCAGTAAAGGACAGTTTTCACTCAGAATCTTTTGTTGGCATTTACTTGAAGAGTACTAAATCTTTTTTTCAGTCTGCATTTACTTGTTTAGTTGTTTTTTTGATAAAAACAGTTCAAAATTATCTCAGAACAGAGAGTGGAGAGTACAACTTAATCCTTACTATTTAAAAATGGGTCATTTTTTAGAGTTGTAACACCCTGGATTAAGCTGTGTGAGTGCATGGTCACTCCACTCAATTAACTAAGTTGTTGATTTGTGATGGAATGCATGGTCATGTCTCACTATGACACATATTATTATCAGGTATGTGTGATATGTACATGTGATCAACTTTTCTATACATTACCAGTACAAGAGAAGTTGGTCAGAGCTTTGTTAAATAAAATATTTATTCAATTACCGGTACATAGTGGAATTTACAGTACATAGATGCTCATTTCAAATTGACCCTCCATATAGGTGCTTTGATTTCATTTAACATTGAGTACATCAGTGTATTTATCAATTATCAGTTAACAATTTATAACAATGTTGAAAAAAATGGTTTCTATATTTGTGCTGCTTGTTCTAATCGGCCGAGGCTTTTAATATTTGGCATATCCCACTGGCTGAGTTCTTACTTGCTTCATAGTCTCATTTCTACTGGCCAACAGAAATATATAACAGCCATTTTTGGAGTCCTTGGTGTTATACTTTAATATTGTCAACAATGTTAAAGGATAATTGTTGAATGAGATTCATCTCGTTTGAGATCGAGTACCAGAAAATATTTTTATGAATTTTTAGCACTAATATTAAACAATTAATTAAACAGAGCTTTCATTCATATTGTTACGTTCTCACTGTGTCGCAAAATATCTTTTTTTCAACTGAATCAGTAAAGTACATATGACAGCAGTTATGAATAATAATTAGAATAAGATATTTAAAATATCCTGCAAAACAATGATATCCACCATGAGCGATATCAGCACGTCCTCTAGTGGTGGCTGCTAAATACACAATCATTGCAAACCCCCCCCCCCCCACAAAAAACAAAAAAAAACACTGGCTTGTGACTGCGAGAATATGTTTATCGGGGGTACCTCATCAACGAAAGCTAATATTTGCAATGGGGTCCCACAAGGGTCAGTCCTAGGTCCCACACTCTTTCTCATTTATATAAATGACCTACCTAATTCTTCAATTTTCTATTATTTCCATCTTCTCGCCGATGATTCCAATCTTTTTCATACTTATTCAGAAACAACAGGTGATATTGATCTTACTCTTGTGATATCAGAACCAAATAAGGTACAATTATGGTGCGACTCAAATAGATTAACGATCAACTGTAAAAAAAAACAAATTTCATTATTTTCAGGGGAAAAAAGGAAAACACCTTAATTAGACTGTCTGGCTTTGTTATTATCCAAGGAACTGAAATAAATGAGGTAGATGATGTTACATTCGTGGGGGAAAGTTTTAGATAAATGCCTTACTTGGACAAATCACATTAGTAAAATTAATAAACAGATCCGAATGAAATGTGGTATTTTATATAGACTCCGTCATATACAATGTATTACCCCTTAATGTTCTTTTGTACAATTCATTTATACTTCCCTATATCACTTATGGCTTAGAGGTTTGGGGTAGTACCTATTCCACGCATTTAAATTGTTTATTGGGTGCCCACTAGTATATAGTCCGTATAATGTAGTTTAAGCCACACAATGAAAATTCAGCTAATCGTTTTTCACACCTACATGTTCTTGATATTTCTAAACTTGATAAACTCTTAGTCGCTCTATTCATTCATAACCTTACTTATCAAGATTCACCCCATTCATTGTGTGATTACTTTCGACCACTTGAACATCACCACGACACTAGACAAAAACGCCAACAACATTTCTATCTTGACAGAGCTAACACAACGTCGGGACAGTTTGCTACTTACTTTACAGGAGCAAAAATCTGGAACAGTATCCCCCTCCACATATGATCAATACCTAATGTATCGAAATTTAGAAAACTTTTAAAATTACATTTATTGCATGAAAATAATTGAAGTTAATTATTAGCCATTATTTATTTCATTTATTCATTCTTTCCGGTCGCTGGGAGCATAGTGGTTGTCGCATCAGACTCATGATCAGTAGACCCAAGTTCAAATCCTACCTCGGGCTGAACATCAAAAGGGTCGACCCTTACTCAGGGTGAGTGTGCCACAGACTCAATGGGAAGGCCAATTCACTGGCCGAGATTCATTAACGAATGCAAAGTTGACCGGCCTTGGTTTGCAGCTAGTCTAGGGGAAGGCTAGGCCCATGTCCGACAACAGTGGTTTGCGACAGGAAGGGCATCCGGCAGTAAAAACCCCATGCCAAACAAAATACGATGCGGAAATATTATCCGCACCGGCGACCCCAGCAACTTGGAATAAAGCTGTAGAAGAAGAAGAAGATTCATTCATTCATTTATTTATTTATTCACTTACTACCTAAAATACTGCAAGTCCCTCACATACTTAGTTTTGTTTACAAAGGCTGGGCTCAGACAAGACTAGCTACATGAATAACTATTTTCTGAAGCCCCTTTCATCCATTTTCTGTGACATAGAATTGTATCATACCAAATATTGTATTTTTTACTTCTTACTTCAGGATAAATAAACGTATTATTATTATTATTATTATGATTATACTTTCCGTGATTCAGAAATCTGGCAAAGCCCTTGGCTGTTATGCAGGAAATGCCGCCCTCAAGCGACCGAATGCCACCACCTGTTGAATGATTTTATCTCTTGTACGTATTAATTATAAACTTTTTGGGGAATGAATATTTGGCCTTTTTGGCGTGTGTGCACCAAGATGGCGGAGACCCAGATGACTTCAACAGCATTTTATCTATTCAGTCTGAATGGTATATATTTATGCATGATCGGAATGCTATATGTGGGCTCACCGCCGCGGATTTACAGTGGACAATCTCAGCGACTTGCACAGCTATGTGGTTCAAGTCTAATTGCCTTGGGTTTAATTTCGTGGTTTGCTCGTAGTTGGCCACATGCGGCACACATTCTATCACCTGTGATGGGGTTCTACAATCTTGCTTACTGTATGTTTATCGGAGCTCTCCGTCAGGAATCAGCGAACAGTGACGACAAGTTCCAGGCCACAATGAGTGGTGTATTTGCTCTGCTATTTTCTTTATATGTAACTGGGTTTATGAAGTAGTCGTCAAAGCTGGCGGACTGTCACCACGTGACATTGTTGGATGTGTATGGAGTGTATGTGATTATCACTTGCAAGAACTGTGAACATCCGGGTACCATCAGCTCAGATACCTAAATCGTGATATATTGACAATAAAACAATGTAAGTCTGTTGAATGACGCGCGACCACTGGTACTAATGAGGCATATTGGTCGTATTGGAATCTGTCAAACATGGAATGGAACGAGTCATTGACACCAATATTTATCATCAATAATTTACAACCGAATGAACGTTCACGTGACGACGGCTATTTCAAGTTGCAAGATGAATATACATGTATAGAGTTTCACACTAAAATAAAATATAAACACATTTTCAAATGAATTTGGATAATTTGATGACTAGTTTCGGGGCTCTTCAAGCAAGCCGCCAATGACAATCAAATTCCATATTTGTGGTCACGTGATTAAGATTGAGCCTACGACACGATATAGTAATAAACAAGGAAGAAATTCGTTTTGTTGTGATAACATGCACATTTGTTTCTTGGCTAGATTGGTTTACAGTAAGTGGTTTGGTAAATTCACAATTGAAAGAGGAAATGCAAATTAGAAAACATTTGGGAAAAAATCTCAATGTACTACATTTACTAATGACAGAGAGGGCGTAGTGCTTATACGTGAGATGACAAACTGAACTAGGACAATGAAAAAAACACAAACGCGCAATGACTACCAACTAACATTTCCAGTTTTCACGTAAAGGCAGTGGTCGGCCAGGGCGGTCGTTGCGAAGCCTCGTGTTTGATCCATAGTATACAACGTGTGTAAATTAGTTTCCGTTTACTGCGACAGACGTTTGGTCTACGCCTTTTTCGTAATATACTAGACTTCGCAGCGAGCTGAAAATCAACTACATCGTCTATATAAAGAATGGATCATTAATTCCGCAGGGGTGGTAGGTTAGTATTTGATCACATGAACAAAACATATAGCTGTAAAGGAAAACAAAACAAAACAAGTGTCCGGTGAAAACTACAATAATAAAAAATGACTTTATTACACAACAATACATTCAGAGGATCTCTGATAAATCCCTCTGGTAAAACAAGAACTACAACATTTAAAACTGCAACAACTTATGAAATCACAGGGTACTACCGTTCTCGGGAGAAGTGCTTATCTAATAGTATCTATCAGGTTATTAGAAATAAACACAATCATATTTTTCGTCTTCATCAATATTGGATTGACATTTTTTGCATTTTTTCTCAGGTTCAATTTTAGGTTTATTTTTTCGACCCAATATTATTTTTCAGGTAATAATACTGTAAACCACTTTGTTGCTACTCGCTATTTTAGCGAATGCCAAAATTAGTAGAATCTTAATCTAACTAAAGTGCCAACAGTTTCATTGCAAAATAAAAAAAAATGAAAATTGACTCAAACTTTGTTTGCTACAAAATTGGAGTTCATTTCCAGAAATATTAAAGATTATAAAAAAAAAAGTGCAGAAAATTTGTGGGCAATTAAGTCTGTTGGTGAAAAGATTGATACAAAATTACGAGCCCAAAACTGTTTTTTAATGGTCTCAAACATATTTAATGGAGGAGACCATTTACAAGCTTGCTACGGCAGTATGCAGTTTACTTATGGTGTGTATAAAATGTATTTGTGGACATACACAAGACATTTCACAATATTTTTGAGTATTTCTTTTTTCAAAATTGTATGAAGAGGTGGTGGTAGATCAGAATATTGTCATACCACGCGATAAAAGTTGGCCCCACCCATTACCAAAATGAACTCATCCATGCTCTAGATCTCGAATAGTGAAGTGTTTCTGTGTTGCTGTTGTAAGGAATGGTAATAGCTTTTTATTCAACGCATTTACCAATTGTGTTGGAAATACGGTCATACCGCGGCCATGTCTGGTAAGTAGGGCAAGATGTACTGCTATCATAGCGTACTTGATGGCAAGATGTACTGCTATCATAGCGTACTTGATGGCAAGATGTACTGCTATCATAGCGTACTTGATGGCAAGATGTACTGCTATCATAGCGTACTTGATGCCAAGATGTACTGCTATCATAGCGTACTTGATGGCAAGATGTACTGCTATCATAGCGTACTTGATGCCAAGATGTACTGCTATCATAGCGTACTTGATGGCAAGATGTACTGCTATCATAGCGTACTTGATGCCAAGATGTACTGCTATCATAGCGTACTTGATGGCAAGATGTACTGCTATCATAGCGTACTTGATGGCAAGATGTACTGCTATCATAGCGTACTTGATGGCAAGATGTACTGCTATCATAGCGTACTTGATGGCAAGATGTACTGCTATCATAGCGTACTTGATGCCAAGATGTACTGCTATCATAGCGTACTTGATGGCAAGATGTACTGCTATCATAGCGTACTTGATGGCAAGATGTACTGCTATCATAGCGTACTTGATGCCAAGATGTACTGCTATCATAGCGTACTTGATGGCAAGATGTACTGCTATCATAGCGTACTTGATGCCAAGATGTACTGCTATCATAGCGTACTTGATGGCAAGATGTACTGCTATCATAGCGTACTTGATGGCAAAACAACCAGGGTCGTTCTCCGGGGTCGTTTATTGTAAGCACGGGTCGTTCTGTTTTTACTGCTTTTATTCGTCTTCCATATTTTATTCAGATGGTTGTCTGCATTGTATATTTTGGACATATATAATTTGCCAACCATGGGCAGTGTTTTATTTTCTGATGGTCCACAGTCGAGGGACGACTGTGAATGGCCCAACCCTACCCCCGAGCCGCCTGGGCCATATGTCGTCTGCGTGCGATGACGTCATTATAGCGCTAAGTATAGCTACAGGAGGGAAGGCCGATCTCTTAGCGAATGCTTATTCGACAGTGAATAAACTAGAGTGTATTGTAGAAGGGCAACCACACACGTGTTAAGGTTTGGGAGAATGGACCTCTATGAGACGAGGGCGATACTAGTAACTTGTTTGTTCCTAGCTGTGCAGCATGGTATGGGCACATGAACTATAAGTTTTTATCGGTTGTCTTCTGCATTGTTCTCCCAGAATAGGGTAACAGGGGCACATTGTGATTGTCATTGTAATTTCGGAATGCCTTTTTATGTCGGTCAGTTAGTATGATAATTTTAACATATATATATTGTCAATCATTGTTTACTGTATATACTGCAGAAATCGAAATAAAATTAGGGAATTAGTGCAATTGTTGAACTTCCTAATGAAAGCTTCTAAACTGCTTGGCATACGTTCTATGCCACAATAGTATCATAAAATGTATTTTCTCTTTAATTTCCTCTTGCTATCAAATGCCCGGTTTTACATGTGACTAGGGGGGTATGGATGACTTCTTTCTCTGGTTACTTTATTAACTGAAAACAATACACAGTCACCCCAAAACCTGTCATATGATAAACAAATTTTATTTATTGTTTACTAGAATTCTCTAAGATACTGATTAAGCTACCGGTAATACTCTCCCTAGTATATTATTAGACCAGCTGTTACTGGAAATATAAAATTTGGGCTAAATAGAAAAATATTATACAAATAATTCAGGTTTGTGAATTCTTATTTTGAATTATGAAACCATTTTACCAACTGAATATTATATAAATATTTGTTTAGCATTTTCACAATAGTGGATACAATATGGTCAGAGATTAAGAGACCATTCAATTTACTCACTGGCTTGTCATTAATGTTGAATTTTTGTTTCATTGTTTTTTTTCTATTAATAATATGGACATATTTGGAAAAAAAACAAATGTTGTTGTTGTCACAAACAATTTAGTAAATAAAAAATTGATTTTAGTTTGTCAAATTGGAGAAGCTTATTTCCTAGAAAATTACCCCTACCCCACCCATAATTTGTGGTTCTGTATAATACAACAAAAATGTATTTGACTGATGTAATCTACATTGAGTCAATTCAGCTTTAATGGTGGTGATGTGACATGTGATGGTATGAATGTGACATGTGATGGTATGAATGTGACATGTGATGGTATGAATGTGACATGTGATGGTATGAATGTGACATGTGATGAATGTGACATGTGATGTGATGAATGCGACATGTGATGGTATGAATGTGACATGTGATGTGATGAATGTGACATGTGATGGTATGAATGTGACATGTGATGGTATGAATGTGACATGTGATGGTATGAATGTGACATGTGATGTGATGAATGTGACATGTGATGGTATGAATTTGACATGTGATGGTATGAATGTGACATGTGATGGTATGAATTTGACATGTGATGGTATGAATGTGACATGTGATGTGATGAATGTGACATGTGATGGTATGAATTTGACATGTGATAGTATGAATGTGACATGTGATGGTATGAATGTGACACATGATGGTATGAATGTGACATGTGATGGTATGAATGTGACATGTGATGGTATGAATGTGACACATGATAGTATGAATGTGACATGTGATGGTATAAATGTGACATGTGATGTGATGAATGTGACATGTGATGGTATGAATGTGACGTGATGGTATGAATGTGACATGTGATGGTATGAATGTGACATGGGATGGTATGAATGTGACATGTGATGGTATGAATGTGACATGTAATGGTATGAATGTGACATGTGCTGGTATAAATGTGACATGTGATGGTATGAATGTGACATGTAATAGTATGAATGTGACATGTGATGGTATGAATGTGACATGTGATGGTATGAATGTGACATGTAATAGTATAAATGTGACATGTGGTGGTATGAATGTGACATGTGATGGTATGAATGTGGCATGTGATAGTATGAATGTGACATGTGATGGTATGAATGTGACATGTGATGTGATGAATGTGACATGTGATGGTATGAATTTGACATGTGATGGTATGAATGTGACATGTGATGTGATGAATGTGACATGTGATGGTATGAATTTGACATGTGATAGTATGAATGTGACATGTGATGGTATGAATGTGACACATGATGGTATGAATGTGACATGTGATGGTATGAATGTGACATGTGATGGTATGAATGCGACACATGATAGTATGAATGTGACATGTGATGGTATAAATGTGACATGTGATGTGATGAATGTGACATGTGATGGTATGAATGTGACGTGATGGTATGAATGTGACATGTGATGGTGTGAATGTGACATGGGATGGTATGAATGTGACATGTGATGGTATGAATGTGACATGTAATGGTATGAATGTGACATGTGATGGTATAAATGTGACATGTGATGGTATGAATGTGACATGTAATGGTATGAATGTGACATGTGATGGTATGAATGTGACATGTGATGGTATGAATGTGACATGTAATAGTATAAATGTGACATGTGGTGGTATGAATGTGACATGTGATGGTATGAATGTGGCATGTGATGGTGTGAATGTGACATGTAATGGTATGAATGTGACATGTGATGGTATGAATGTGACATGTGATGGTATGAATGTGACATGGGATGGTATGAATGTGACACGTGATGGTATGAATGTGACATGTGATAGTATGAATGTGACATGTGATAGTATGAATGTGACAGTATAAATGTGACATGTGATGGTATGAATGTGACATGTGATGGTATGAATGTGACATGTGATGTGATGAATGTGACATGTGATGGTATGAATGTGACATGTGATGGTGTGAATGTGACATGTGATGTGATGAATGTGACATGTGATGGTATGAATTTGACATGTGATGGTATGAATGTGACATGTGATGTGATGAATGTGACATGTGATGGTATGAATTTGACATGTGATGGTATGAATGTGACATGTAATGGTATGAATGTGACGTGTGATGGTATGAATGTGACATGTGATGGTATGAATGTGACATGTGATGGTATGAATGTGACATGTGATATGAATGTGACATGTAATAGTATAAATGTGACATGTGATGGTATGAATGTGACGTGTGATGGTATGAATGTGACATGTGATGGTATGAATGTGACACATGATGGTATGAATGTGACATGTAATAGTATAAATGTGACATGTAATGGTATGAATGTGACATGTGATGGTATGAATGTGACATGTAATAGTATAAATGTGACATGTGATGGTATGAATGTGACATGTGATGGTATGAATGTGACATGATGGTATGAATGTGACATGTGATAGTATGAATGTGACATGTGATGGTATGAATGTGACACATGATGGTATGAATGTGACATGTAATAGTATAAATGTGACATGTGATGGTATAAATGTGACATGTGATGGTATGAATGTGAAATGTGATGGTATGAATGTGATCAAAATTTGCCCTGCAGCATAAATCTTTGTAATTCAATAATCTGTATTTATCTTTCAAGTACATGTATGAATGATGCAAAAACATCTTGGTGACAAGTGAACACCATGGCAGTGTTGCCATTTGAAGCACGTAATGGCGGCAGATTTTGTTTGCTGATGTTGTTAGGTATGACGATGGGAGTCTTCATGATGATCTATATTTCAATGTCAGGTGAGTTCACTAATATGTTCTGTTGTCCCTTCATTTCCATGGCATTTTCACAAAATTAATCAGGTTTGTCTGTCGAAAATGGCCTTGGCACTAAAATGTATCTTCTGAACACAGTAACACAAGTGATTAGGGAAGCAGTGCTATTAAGGTGGTGAGAAAAGAATTTGGTGACGTTTTTAAATAAAGCATTCTCTGATTGTTGTCTCATTCAAATCTGTAAATTAGTGTATATGTTCCAAAAGCCTAAGTATAGAGGGGCAAGTTCGCACAAACTGGACAGTCATTGTTTGCATAATTATCACATAACAACAAAAATGGCGAATCTTGTAAAAATGACTAAATTCGTGGACTTTCAGGGTGAAATTTGCGTTGATAATAAATTTATTTTTCTATCCCCTAATTATTTCATACTTGGCACCTTCAACAGACTATTAGTCAAAGTACTTTCTTTTAAAGTATTTTATGCATTTTGCACCATCATTATCTTGTGAACGACTATGGAAGTGCCTGAATGCACTAAGTTTGACGGCGATCCCAATAAGACATGCTCAATCAAAACCTAAAGTCGAGAAAATGTGTAAAGACTGTTTAGGATAATAAAATACTGCAGATTTGAACAATTCTCCAATTTCATCCAATTTGTAAGGTACTGGATGCAAGTTTGATCCATGTACGCTAATATATACGGTGGTGAAATGCGATCCTATAGCATTGATCAGAGTTATGTCATTATCATGTTTAATTCGGAAGAATCAGTAGTCAAAAAATAGAATAGCAACAAGCGTAGAACTGTTGTGGTAATACTGTTGCAATGCAATGAAGTAGTAACTTGAAATCATTAAAAGTCATTGAAAAATATCATAAAATTAATGCAGTTGGTTTTTTTTTTTTTGTGCCAGGCGACAGTCTCGGACATTGAATGTCACTGTTGTCTCTCCTGACTTTTTTTTTGTATGTGCAAATTGCAAGTGCTAGTGATGACACATAGTGCATTTTTGCCACAGAAGTCATATTCATATTTGGGACTACACAGGGCTGTGTGGCCATCTCTCTATAAAATAGCAATTTTAACGCGCTATCCTGGCGTCAACCAGGCTCGGTCGAACACAGGCACCTGCGTTCCCTCAAAGTCGCATTTGTGAGTGAATGTATCTCCCATTGAATCTGTGGCACACTCACCCAGGGTAGGGGTCGACCCTTTTTGATGTTCAGCCTAAGGTAGGATTCGAACTTGGGTCTACTGGTCATGAGTCTGATGCGACAACCACTAGGCTACCAGTGACCGGTAATGCAGTTGGGGTTAAAAAGACCTTTATCGCCTGCAAATGTTGTCGTTATTTCTCGTAGATACTAACTTATTACGGAACATAATTTGAAATTCTGCAAATTGGTAAAAAAAGTCAGATTGTTAATATAAACATTGATGCAAATTATCTTTGTTATGGTGCCATATTTTCAACATTATTTAAATATATTTTATTTCACTTATCGATGTCTTCAACATGTGTTTTTATAGTGTAAAATCATAATGCATTCAAAACATACTTTATAAATGTGCAAGACACCGAAAATATTTGTTGGTAATTTTATAAACTGGCTTGGCAATTCCTAGCCCAATTAGATAGTGTCACAGCATTCCGGCTATTTTTTTTAGCAAATCCAGAATCACTCTTGATAATTTTGTTTCTATAGCATGTGTACTATGATTGTATTTGATGTTTTGATAATCCAAATCCAAATAATACATACAATGAACAAAAATACCCATAAAATATTAATAAAAGAATTTATTATATAACCTGGACAAAAGAAAGCATTATTTTTCCCTTGTCATAATGATGCATTTTCCCTGATTAGTGTAACTTCATGTGGAAATCCTAATAAATATATGAGACTTAAAGTTACAACTGGCGGTTGAATTCATTAATTCAGTCCAGCAGTTAAATAGGTTATTTATTAGAGACATCCGGGAACCAAAATTTGCAATGTATACCACTATGGCTATGAAAAATCAGCAATAATAGCCAAGGGGATGAGGGACTGAATTTCAAAAACATATTTTATATACAAAGTATATAATTTTGATTAGATTATATATATTTATATTTGTTAAGAGAAATCATGGTTGTTAATCATTTCAAATACATAGTTTCATTCATACTGACGAGAACGCAATCAAATAAAATGTTCATAAGCATTGAAAATTATATGATCATGATGACTTTGTTAATCTGACTGATAGCAACAAACCAAATGTACCAAACTGAATAAATCACTTGTCGGTGTTTGTGTGGGATTATTGTCTATCTCTGTTTTCTATGTTCTGTAACAAATCTTTCCATCCAAAGGCTCAAACCAAGTTTTATTTCATTTTACTGATATTTCAATTTTCTTTAATAGATCATGAGACACCCAAGCCTAGAAGCAGAGTAACATTAAATCACATAAAGACAACTAACATAATGGATGTAAAGGTGAAAAAGGATTTATCTGATGATCAGTTTGATACCATTTGTGCACAGCTCAATTCTTAGCACAAGCTTAGAGGTTAATTGTAGTCAATGTTCATTTAGAAGATTATATTTATAACTATTCATTTCAGTATGCCATTTCTTACACTTCCCATTGGAATTCAGTGTATTGTCAAGTTAAGGTTGGGAGAATTACACTTCCCATGGAATTCAGTGTATTGTCAAGTTAAGGTTGGGAGAATTACACTTCCCATGGAATTCAGTGTATTGTCAAGTTAAGGTTGGGAGAATTACACTTCCCATGGAATTCAGTGTATTGTCAAGTTAAGGTTGGGAGAATTACACTTCCCATTGGAATTCAGTGTATTGTCAAGTTAAGGTTGGGAGAATTACACTTCCCATGGAATTCAGTGTATTGTCAAGTTAAGGTTGGGAGAATTACACTTCCCATGGAATTCAGTGTATTGTCAAGTTAAGGTTGGGAGAATTACACTTCCCATGGAATTCAGTGTATTGTCAAGTTAAGGTTGGGAGAATTACACTTCCCATGGAATTCAGTGTATTGTCAAGTTAAGGTTGGGAAAATTACACTTCCCATGGAATTCAGTGTATTGTCAAGTTAAGGTTGGAAGAATTACACTTCCTATGGGAATTCAGTGTGTTGTGAAGTTAAGGTTGGGAGAATTACACTTCCCATGGAATTCAGTGTATTGTCAAGTTAAGGTTGGAAGAATTACACTTCCTATGGGAATTAAGTGTGTTGTGAAGTTAAGGTTGGGAGAATTACACTTCCCATGGGAATTCAGTGTTTTGTCAAGTTAAGGTTGGGAGAATCACACTTCCCATGGGAATTCAGTGTATTGTCAAGTTAAGGTTGGGAGAATTACTCTTCCCATGGGAATTAAGTGTGTTGTGAAGTTAAGGTTGGAAGAATTACACTTCCCATGGGAATTCAGTGTGTTGTAAAGTTAAGGTTGGGAGAATTACACTTCCCATGGGAACTCAGTATATTGTACCAATATATTTGAGTATGATTTCAAATTATTACTGTGTTTTTTTACATTCAGAGAGAAACTAACGTAAGCAGAGAAGTCCCCAATCATACCTACATGGACAGACTGAATTTAGTAGAATCCAATTGTAATACACCTACAGTGGAACTGCCAGTGTATAAACTCCAACAACTTATTGTTGATGATGAATATAAATTCATATACTGCTGGATTCCAAAAGTTGCGAGTGGAAACTGGAAAGTGGTATTAAAGAACCTAAAAGAATTTTACACCAATAAAGACTGGAAACCAAATTTACGAGATCGCAATATGGGTCTACCAACACTGAACAAGTATTCATCAGTGGGGATAAAGACCCGCTTGAAAAGTTATTATAAATATGTGTTTGTACGTCACCCTTTAGAAAGGCTGCTATCGGCTTATAGGGATCGCTTTGAGAGACGAAGGACAAACATAAGCAGATTGCCTATTACAAATTTAAGTAGCTTTGTTAACTATATTAAGGATACAATGAATATTCACTGGAGTCCAATGACAGACTTATGTGATCCATGTGATATTAAGTTTGATTTTATTGGACATTTTGAAACTCTCAGAAAGGATGTAGACTATCTTTTAAATTTATTCAATATAAGTTCTGTTGCGAGTTTCCGATCTGTTAGTAGCTATGCTACCAACAGTTCTGATCAATCACTGCTACATAAATACTATTCATCTCTGTCAGAGGATGACATGCTCTTTTTACAAGGTCTTTATGCAAAAGATTATCAACTTTTTGGATATGATCCTCAAATCTGAACAAGATCAATTTTGGATTTTAAATCTTTTCTTAGAATAATTCTGAATGTGTGTTTTGTTCTGAAACCTATAAAGCTGTGATAAATGGCATAAATGGTTGTAATGCTATGCAAATATTACAAGCAGACAATCACACTGCACCATGTTAGTATTAATAACACCATAATGTGTCAGGATATTTTGTATTCTTTCTACCTAACAGTGATGTATTGTTTGCAATACATTTATTTTAAATTATTATTTGAATCAAGGAACATCTCAAGTAGCAGATGAATTTAGTTCCAGACAAAGAAGCCTGATCTGCATTGAGTCATAATAGAAAGTAGCCAATCAGTAAATCCACTACTTTTTGCAATGATAACTGCACATAAATGAAAAAAAAAAAAAAATGGTTGACCAACTGCCAAAACATTAGTAAATGTTTCTGTAAATATCTTCAGTGATTCAATACCAATACGTGTTTAGTTTCTCACAATTTAATTTCATTGTATTAGCATTCAAAGCTATAAAAATGAATCATGTGTTTGATTTGGTCAGTAAATGTTAGGGTCTGGGTCATTAGTCTTGCAAAAATCAAGTGGTGAGGCATTTAAAAAAAAATATTTGACAGAGCAAAAATATCACAAGTTTAATCAAGAAAGGGTGTCAGAAGTTGGTAATGAAGTGGCTTATATAAAATTACTATTATCAAATTCCATTTCAGATAATGTTAGTGAAATTATTGAATTAATCAGTCTGGAACACAGCACAATCTTGAATTAATCAGTCTGGAACACAGCACAATCTTCTACTTTTATTGTACAATAATGCAATTTACATTGTAAATATTTTTTTTTACAAAAAATGGCAACAAACAGTTTGAAATAATTTTGTGGGGACAAATGGTAGGTACTTAGGCCATCATAAAATAACGTTGCAAATAAGGAAAGACAATGCCCAAATAAGGAAATACAAATTTGAAAGTATACACAATTTAACACACAAATACACTTTATATTAAATGTAAATCTAGATAAACTACATAGCGTTATTAAAAGCCATAACCTGTCTGAATTAAACTGTTTTTCCAGACAATTCTCAATTTATAAAAAAAAATCTTTTGGTGTTCATTTCAAACACATTACACAGTTACCTTCAGTCTGATTAAAATTAGATCTTAGTTTGGGCTTTTTTATTTTCATTCAATATGTATTTATTTTTTCATATATTTCTATTTTATTTTGTTTCAATTTATTATTTTCTAACTGATTTTGGCTTTTGCAATTACCAAAACTTGACCAGTAAATAAATTGAAATAAAATATATGGGAAAAAAAGTTAATCAAAAAGTTTAATCAAATTGAGATTATTTGAAACAAGTATATTGGCAGTGAGGGTGAGATGACTGGAAGTAGTATGCTAGATTATTGTAAAATACATGATTGAATAGCTCATTAAGAACATTCATAAATTCAAAATTACTATTTCTTTCATAAAAGCATTGTTAGTCGCTAAGCTTGTTTTCACTAGTATTGTTAAAATATAAATAATTAGCACCACACTTTTCACTAGTAACTATAACAATGTGTTACAGATAAGATTCAACCACAAGGACATTTGAATCTATGCTTAATTAATATTTGTGCTCTGAGGTGTGCCCTCTGTGGCTGGGGTGAAACAGACTGTAGAGGGCGCCATATACCAGTTAGGTGTGACATGAGTAAAATCAACATGCATAAATTAAGAGAAACGCACATTATTACGAAAGTCTCTTAAGCTGAAAAATTTATCTTTAACAAAACCACTTCTGAGAAAAAAAATAGATTAAAAAAAATGGATATTTGAAAAATCACAAAAATGTCCTATTTTTCAAATTGACATACATGTATGAGTACATATATATGCCTTCTATAACAAAACCAATCACTGAATTGAAACATCACATGACAACAATCAGCCAATCATGCAACAACTGCAGTCATACTATTATGTAAATATTCACTGCTCTTCAATGCTCTGCTTTTTCTCTGAAGTAATATTAAATCCTTTTTTCAACATAACAGTCTCAATACTTTTGTCTTGGTCTTTTTCTCTGTAGCAAACAAACAAACACATAAATTATACAGTAGGCCACTCACAAAGCAAGCTCTATAGATAACATGTATATATTGAAGAGTGTGGAAGGAATCTATATACCCTAAGAGTTTGAAAACAGTAAATGGGTGGCACCACTTTGTTTCACAAATTATTCAAAGTGAGACGGCTCATTCATGATAAAGCACCTTCAGAATTTGGTTCAATAATATGGCAATCATTTTCTGGCAACGGACTGAGAATAGTTCAACTTTGAATAGTGTTTTGGGTCATTTCGACCAGCAGTGACACGTGAATCATGCGAATAGTTACGTCAGTTCTATTTTTAGTAACTCGATAAACTGCTCGGCTGCATGCCAGGCATTGCCTGCTATATGTAATTACACATGTACCAACATTCTCCACTTCATCTTGTATTTAAAAAGCTGTGTGGATAACTCTGAACATTTCTATAACATTCTAAGAAATTCAATTAATATACATGAAAATTGCGGCACAAAAACTAGCATGACAAATTATGGAGTTGATAGATTAAGTGTGGTATGTGACATACTTTAGTCGTTCCTCCTCCAACAAAGCAACAAGTGCATCTCTTTGTTCAACAACTTCTAACATCTCAGCCAACAATTTTTTCTCTTCATCTAATTCCTTTTTGCTTTTCTTGGAATCTGAAACGAACATACAAGAGGTTACCAAAGCCTTTGGACATGATTTGACTTACTGTCAGATAACATCGCAACACAGCATTCAACTATTCATCCACAAACGTTTTTTGATCACTGGTAGTGGTAATCCAACGTTGGTTGAACACCAAAAAGGGTCTATCTCTACCCTGGGTGAGTGCGCCACAGACTCAATGGTTAGTCCAAATTCACTGGCAGAAATTCATTCGCTTTGTGTTTCAAAGAAAAAACAACACCGGCATGCAATGGCTGAAACTGTAATTAGGCACAAACATATTATTTAAAAAGCAAAACACATAACCCATGACTCTTTGGAAAAGAATGATGGAATGTTTGATTTATATCTTTACAGAATTGTAAACCATAGTCAAGGAACTGAACAATAGAAATAATATTTGAACCAATCTAATTGTACTCACCCTGTGTGGACATTTTGTCTCTCAATTCTTGTTGTAATCTACTGTGTCTGTCTTCTAACTCCAATTCTTTGGCTCTGTCAAATAAAGGATTGGAAAAAACAGTCATGTTGTTGCACGTGACCATCTGATGTTGCACATATCCATCTGATGTTGCACATAGCCATTCGATGTTGCATATAGCCATCTGATGTTGCACATAGCCATCTGATGTTGCACATAGCCATCTGATGTTGCACATAGCCATCTGATGTTGCACATAGCCATCTGATGTTGCACATAGCCATCTGATGTTGCACATAGCCATTCGATGTTGCACATAGCCATTCGATGTTGCACATAGCCATCTGATGTTGCACATAACCATCTGATGTTGCACATAGCCATCTGATGTTGCAGCCGTCTGATGTTGCACATAGCCGTCTGATGTTGCACATAGCCATCTGATGTTGCACATAGCCATCTGATGTTGCACATAGCCATCTGATGTTGCACGTAGCCATCTGATGTTGCACGTAGCCATCTGATGTTGCACATAGCCATCTGATGTTGCACATAGCCGTCTGATGTTGCACATAGCCATCTGATGTTGCACGTAGCCATCTGATGTTGCACGTAGCCATCTGATGTTGCACATAGCCATCTGATGTTGCACATAGCCATCTGATGTTGCACATAGCCATTCGATGTTGCACATAGCCATCTGATGTTGCACATAGCCATCTGATGTTGCACATAGCCATCTGATGTTGTACATAGCCATCTGATGTTGTAGCCGTCTGATGTTGCACGTAGCCATCTGATGTTGCACGTAGCCATCTGATGTTGCACGTAGCCATCTGATGTTGCACATAGCCATCTGATGTTGCACATAGCCATCTGATGTTGCACGTAGCCATCTGATGTTGCACGTAGCCATCTGATGTTGCACATAGCCATCTGATGTTGCACATAGCCATCTGATGTTTTAGCCGTCTGATGTTGCACGTAGCCATCTGATGTTGCACGTAGCCATCTGATGTTGCACGTAGCCATCTGATGTTGCACATAGCCATCTGATGTTGCACGTAGCCATCTGATGTTGCACATAGCCATCTGATGTTGCACATAGCCATTCGATGTTGCACATAGCCATCTGATGTTGCATATAGCCATCTGATGTTGCACATAACCATCTGATGTTGCACATAGCCATCTGATGTTGTACATAGCCATATGATGTTGCACATAGTCATCTGATGTTGCATATAGCCATTCGATGTTGCAAGTAGACATCATGTTGTAGTTATTTAGTGTTTGTTGACATGAAAATGATAAGACTCACCTTATAGATAATTCTTGTTCAACTCTGACCAAAGCATTCTTTTCATTCACTAATGTGAACCATTCCTGCATCAAAACTGTTTCATCTTTTTCTCCCACTGAAAAAAATGAGAATGTAATGTTTCCAAAATAAAAAAAAATATGAAATCATGTGGATATCTCCAAACACGGTCATGTCAAAACACACAGGCAGATAGGGAACTGATAGAGATAGAAAGAGAACTCACCAGGTGAAGAAGGTACTTCATCTTTATATATAGAAAAGGCAAATAGAAATGAACAGAAATTTAAAGAAATAATATTGAAATGACAACAACAATGAGAGAACATGGATAGCCATAGAAATTGTGGATTGGATTGCATGTACAAGAATACTTTAATCATAATTTTGTAATTTATATAATGCTTATTTTTTTACAACATGACTACATATTGTACTCTATCACATGTTTATCACATTAGTGTTACATCATATACTGCCTGAATGTTGTCCCAAGCTTCCGGGGGTTATATATGGTCTAATAACCACAGATTATTTTGGCAAGCTCAAGTATGTATTTTCGAAATTATTATTCAGTTATTAGGAATTTAAAAAAAACCTAATGAATTTAAGAAATTATTACGAACAAGCAGAATCACCACACAGCGCATGCAAAATGTTCTTGTGAAATAGAAGTGTGGAGTGAACAAAATTAGCATATGAGAAGAGCACAATGATATATTATATTAGTATTCGGTATTATTAGTTTCACTTTTAACAAGGTATTGTTTCATTTTTTTGGAATGTGGAATAATGATTTTGATGAATATATAATCCCATGATATTTTCTCAGTTTGGCATCAGGAGACATGTGTGATTATTGCCATGGTAACCCAAGGCTTGGATTGATACACTGGCAGTAATTATTCATGTCTGCTAATGGCAATTTAAAAGAAAATATCGTGGGATTATATATAAATATACACCTCAATATAACCCATTCTTTACAAGTTGACTACACATTATACTCTATATACACCTCAATATAACCCATTCTTTACAAGTTGACTACACATTATACTCTATATACACCTCAATATAACCCATTCTTTACAAGTTGACTACACATTATACTCTATAGACACCTCAATATAACCAATTCTTTACAAGTTGACTACACATTATACTCTATATACACCTCAATATAACCAATTCTTTACAAGTTGACTACACATTATACTCTATATACACCTCAATATAACCAATTCTTTACAAGTTGACTACACATTATACTCTATATACACCTCAATATAACCAATTCTTTACAAGTTGACTACACATTATACTCTATATACACCTCAATATAACCAATTCTTTACAAGTTGACTACACATTATACTCTATATACACCTCAATATAACCAATTCTTTACAAGTTGACTACACATTATACTCTATATACACCTCAATATAACCCATTCTTTGCAAGTTGACTACACATTATACTCTATATACACCTCAATATAACCCATTCTTTGCAAGTTGGCTAAACATTATATTCTATATTCAAACAAACTATTTTAGAGTTATACATGTGATAATATTCAAACGTGACATCCAAATTTATTCCTGAAGAAGAGTTTTATGGACATTGAGCATACACACAGAATGTGAATATTTAAAACCTTTAATTAGCTAATTTAATTAGCATAAACAAAATGGTGGATTTGATGACATACTCTAACAAGTACATCATTTGACACCAGTCATTGGCTGCATATATAGCCATATAAATGTTCAAATCAAGGATATAATTTAGATATTGTGTTTTGAGTACTCACCAGGTGAAGAAGATACTTCATCTTTATATTTTGAAAAGGCAAATATACATGAAAGTTAAAAATGCGATAAACAGGAATTTCAGAAAATGAAATGGAAATATAAAAGAATGGGTGGACATGACTAAGGACAATGTTTACAACTCAGTTTGCAATGGCAGAAAGTACTGAGATATAGAAGAGGAAAGGCACTTTAAATGCAAACAAGAACCATGCATCAATTTGTAATTATGAAAAAAACATTGGAAAAAATGTGTATTAATTAACTATTAATTAATGGTTATCAAATATTACAATATTCTAATGAAGAGGAATTCCCATAGAGTATGTACTATAGAGAGTGAATGTTCTAACTATGAAATGATTGGGTCTCTGAAAGTGTAAAACAAATGATTTTCCATGCAGTGTCTTTGAGATAATCAATCTTAACACATTGTTGATTACTGCCATCTATAACCTGAATTAGAATTAGAAAAGATTTACAAGTACACTGTAGACAAAATATTAAAGTAGTGATTTTAAATAATCACAATTTGAGTGACAGATGACACCAATCACAGGTATGAATGTGCCTGCTGTTTATGTGATAAATTACAAACCTGACTCGCCCCGTAATGTCTTCTCAACTTCAACACCTCTTACTTCTAACTGTTTTTGTTTGACTTCCACCTCCTGTAACTGTCGTTGTATCTCTTGTGCCAGTCGTAACCGTTTTAGCTCCTCTTGTCTATGCTGTTTTTTAACAGCTTTCTGCACCCTTTTTGTTAACTTGGCATTCACCTCAGAGTCAGAAAGCTGTGGTTTGCCCTAAGTGTAGAAAATCAAATAAGTCAGTAATTCCATTTCAGTAAACAAGCCTCTATACTTTTTCAACAACTGGGACCTATAGTAAAGAGCGTTACATCAATTTATGGTTATAAATACTGGACAATGAATTGATAATAAAAAAGTATTGAAATATTTTTTCCTATGCAGCATTGTCTATATCTCATGTCTCCATCTGAATCTACATAGCAATGTCTCTATGTCAAGTCTCTATCTGCCCCTGTGCAGCATTGTCTCTATGTCAAGTCTCTATCTGAACCTGTGCAGCATTGTCTATCTGAACCAGTGCAGCACTGTCTCTATGTCAAGTCTCTATCTGAACCTGTGCAGAATTGTCTCTATGTCAAGTCTCCATCTGAACCTGTGCAGCATTGTCTCTATGTCAAGTCTCCATCTGAACCTGTGCAGCATTGTCTCTATGTCAAGTCTCTATCTGAACCTGTGCAGAATTGTCTCTATGTCAAGTCTCTATCTGAACCTGTGCAGAATTGTCTCCATGTCAAGTCTCCATCTGAACCTGTGCAGCATTGTCTCTATGTCAAGTCTCCATCTGAACCTGTGCAGCATTGTCTCTATGTCATGTGTCCATCTGAACCTGTGCAGCATTGTCTCTATGTCTAGTCTCTATCTGAACCTGTGCAGAATTGTCTCTATGTCAAGTCTCCATCTGAACCTGTGCAGCATTGTCTCTATGTCTAGTCTCTATCTGAACCTGTGCAGCATTGTCTCTATGTCATGTGTCCATCTGAACCTGTGCAGCATTGTCTCTATCTGACCTGTGCAGCATTGTCTCTATGTCAAGTCTCCATCTGAACATGTGCAGCATTGTCTCTATGTCAAGTCTCCATCTGAACATGTGCAGCATTGTCTCTATGTCAAGTCTCCATCTGAACATGTGCAGCATTGTCTCTGTTAAGGCCAAATCAACATTTTAATGTGTATTTAATTGCTATTATATATTTTGTATTTACTGCATGCTATGCTATATATTATTCACTGTAAACTTGGATAAATTCCATGTGGCGAATAGCGCCACCCAGAGTTATTTGTGAAAGTTATTAATAGTATTAAGGTCAGTTCTTATCTGAGATAAAAAACTGATGAGTTGGCAGTGTGACTCAGCTAACTGTACGGTACGGATGTACGCTTTTGAGGTCCATCAATACCTTGATATTGCAAACTGTTTCACTTGGAATTGATTGGCTAGGAAGGTCTACAAACACGGTGAGTGTTTAATGAATCACATGTGTTCTTTTGGCAGTTTAATTTTAGTGCCATTATGGTGCAAATATATCGTACACTGTTTACTGTGCCATCACATTGATTTTTAAGTGTAAATAACTTCACTATAGCCAGAACAACCAAGATTTCAGTATAGATTTGAATAAGTTTGAATAAGTTTGAATAAGTTTTATTATACTCGTTTAGTTTGCATAGTTTATGTTAGGAAACTTTGTTCGTTTCAAGTACAACCATTGTTAGTGTACTAGTTGCACTGTCTATTTCTCAGAGCTATTTATAGAACTTAAACTTGTCCATGCATGCATATAGATATTAGGTTACTTGGAAGAGTCATTTCACTCATATTACAATTATACAGTGTCTTCGTTTAAGACAGGCTGAGCATTATAAGCCATGAAGTACTATGTGTATTTTTAGATATTTTACACTGTGTGTACATCACTAGAAATGTATTTGCTTTATTTTATCATTGTATGTGTATTTATTATTTTGTTTGTGTTACATTTCAGTTAATCGTCATTCTACATTCTTTGTATGGAATAAAGAGTCGTGATACAGAAAACAGACTTTTGTTCAATTAGTGTGGAAGAACGCATTGGTGAGGGGATGACTTCCTGGTGTAATCAATACATAGTGGCAAGCTTATTCACTGTGTCAGCCATTAATTAGGCGTTATACGGGACCAGTAAAACTTGGAGTTTGCTTGTGCACTACAGTCTCTATGTCAAGTCTCCATCTGAACATGTGCAGCATTGTCTCTATGTCAAGTCTCCATCTGAACCTGTGCAGCATTGTCTCTATGTCAAGTCTCTATCTGAATCTGTGCAGCATTGTCTCTATCTGAACCTGTGCAGCATTGTCTCTATGTCAAGTCTCCATCTGAACATGTGCAGCATTGTCTCTATGTCAAGTCTCCATCTGAACATGCGCAGCATTGTCTCTATCTGAACCTGTGCAGCATTGTCTCTATGTCAAGTATCCATCTGAACCTGTGCAGCATTGTCTCTATCTGAACCTGTGCAGCATTGTCTCTATGTCAAGTCTCCATCTGAACATGTGCAGCATTGTCTCTATGTCAAGTCTCCATCTGAATCTGTGCAGCATTGTCTCTATCTGAACCTGTGCAGCATTGTCTCTATGTCAAGTATCCATCTGAACCTGTGCAGCATTGTCTCTATCTGAACCTGTGCAGCATTGTCTCTATGTCAAGTCTCCATCTGAACATGTGCAGCATTGTCTCTATGTCAAGTCTCTATCTGAATCTGTGCAGCATTGTCTCTATCTGAATCTGTGCAGCATTGTCTCTATCTGAACCTGTGCAGCATTGTCTCTATGTCAAGTCTCCATCTGAACATGTGCAGCATTGTCTCTATGTCAAGTCTCCATCTGAACATGTGCAGCATTGTCTCTATGTCAAGTCTCTATCTGAATCTGTGCAGCATTGTCTCTATCTGAACCTGTGCAGCATTGTCTCTATGTCAAGTCTCCATCTGAACCTGTGCAGCATTGTCTCTATGTCAAGTCTCTATCTGAACATGTGCAGCATTGTCTCTATGTCAAGTCTCTATCTGAACCTGTGCAGCATTGTCTCTATGTCAAGTCTCCAACTGAACCTGTGCAGCATTGTCTCTATGTCAAGTCTCTATCTGAATCTGTGCAGCATTGTCTCTATCTGAACCTGTGCAGCATTGTCTCTATCTGAACCTGTGCAGCATTGTCTCTATGTCAAGTCTCCATCTGAACCTGTGCAGCATTGTCTCTATGTCAAGTCTCTATCTGAATCTGTGCAGCATTGTCTCTATCTGAACCTGTGCAGCATTGTCTCTATGTCAAGTCTCCATCTGAACCTGTGTAGCATTGTCTCTATGTCAAGTCTCTATCTGAATCTGTGCAGCATTGTCTCTATCTGAACCTGTGCAGCATTGTCTCTATGTCAAGTCCCCATCTGAACATGTGCAGCATTGTCTCTATGTCAAGTCTCCATCTGAACATGTGCAGCATTGTCTCTATGTCAAGTCTCTATCTGAATCTGTGCAGCATTGTCTCTATCTGAACCTGTGCAGCACTGTCTCTATGTCAAGTCTCCATCTGAACCTGTGCAGCATTGTTTCTATGTCAAGTCTCTATCTGAACATGTGCAGCATTGTCTCTATGTCAAGTCTCTATCTGAACCTGTGCAGCATTGTCTCTATGTCAAGTCTCCAACTGAACCTGTGCAGCATTGTCTCTATGTCAAGTCTCTATCTGAATCTGTGCAGCATTGTCTCTATCTGAACCTGTGCAGCATTGTCTCTATCTGAACCTGTGCAGCATTGTCTCTATGTCAAGTCTCCATCTGAACCTGTGCAGCAT